CTTAAAATCAGCAATCTGTGGATGCAGACAGGATAGTTATTGTAGCCTCGGATCTAGCGATGCACAGAAGGCGTGGAATTCTACTAACTCGAAAATTCCAATCCAATATTATGCCCCTTACTTATATCAAATGAGTAGGTGAATCGCTCAACTCCAACACAATACGTCTACAAGAGTTGGCTTGAAGTGGGAACTTGGAACACGTAACACCTCACTCTCAACAATGCAGCATCACAGTGTGTTTGGTAGCTCATGACTGCTTACTGATTCAATGCTTCGTGAAGGCGAGATGCCAAAGGTCGAAAAGTGAACAGTCGAGATGTGTGTGGAAGTGAGATTAATTTGATATGAAGTTAGATCACATGTGGACCTAGATGTGTGAATGGAAATGTGATCACAAAGTAGAGCATTTAATCTGACTACCAGTTGGTAACTCAGAGCTCGTGGCAACAGCGTACCTTGATTCGTTGGTGCTTGGTGAGAAGAATGTTGCGAGCTGCGAGATCACGATGTTGAATCCGTTTGGCCTCGAGAGCACGCATACCATTGACGATTTCTGATACAAACCGATGGAATTTGAGATAACGAGCATTGTTCTCCTGCTCTCTCCTCTCCTCTGTCTTGTTCCTCTTATCTTCGGTATTTTGGTTGAGTGACTGGAGGTAATTCAGCAAGGTGCCACCAGGCATGAATCTAGTCACCACGTAGAGGTACTCGTCATCCACGTACCATCCAATAAGAGGCAGAAGATGTTGCCTGCTGATGGCGGAGGCTTTGAGGATGGAGCACATCACCGCCACTTCCATGGCACCCACGAGTGCGTTTTTGGACTTCTGCTTGATTCGTTTCACCGCCACTTCCATTGGCGGATTTCTACCTTTGGCCTGCAAATTGACCCACATTGTGTCAGTGCGTAAACATTCACCACCTCTCTCACTTGGTCAAATATGTGGGGTGTTGAGGACACACCAGGTGATGCATTTCTAAACAAACAAGCAGGCTAGCTGATACGGCTTTCGGTGGAATTTGTCTCATTGCAGCACACATTGGTATTTGACGTACATGTCGTGGGTGAGTGCAGTCAGGTTGTGAGGCAGCGTTCGTCAAGATGACACGTCAACGTGGTGCTGAACTCGTAGGTGAAGCGGTGTATCTGTGGCGAAAGAAGTGTATTGTCATCGGCGGCAATAGAAACCAAGTCAGTGGATGTGAACGTGAGTGGATGTATCACAGGTGGATTTCTACTGTGACGGAGTGCTCAGACTTTGTGCAGCGTGATCACTCAGTCCAGCAGCCGAGCAGTCATTCAGGAAAAAAGCATTTTAACTGCGTGGGTGTTTTAAAGATGACTGGGTGCATTAACGACCCTGATGGCAAATATGCATCCAGAACATTGAATTCCCGCCTATATCCAACTGTAGCGCTAACCAACTTTCAGTCTGGCATAAGATACGAATGTTTCTGCGAACATGTGAATAAACGCGACAATTCAAATTCTCCAAGAAGTTGTTGCACATAGCTATTACGTTATACCAACTGACCCATTGACCGCCTGATGCACTTTCGCTGCACCAGCATGATTAGTTGCTTCGATGGGATGACATTTATAGACCATTTTACAATGTGTAACGATATCCTATCAGCTGAGTGCCCACTTATCCAATCCAGCATACGATGATCACACTTGAATTTGGGAGCAGACAATGCATCCCGAGTGCTTTTGGGCATTCCCTTTGCCAAATTTATGCAATTCGTTCTAAGCGCGATGCCTTTCTTACCTGTAGTAGAGACCAAATGCATCACCGGCTCATCAAGGAAATTCTAGACTCATAATATTGATGAGTATAGTCGGGCTTATGTAACGATGGCGACTCACCCGTTCTGGATAGAGTCCTAGTGTAACCTCACCAAATTCACCCTTTCCGATGGTTTCAACGCTTTCCTCCTTCACGACTGGTGCAATTTCTTTGAAGCCTGCAAAATGCCTCAAGTCCTTGTGGTAGATGAGGGAGACGCATTTACGCTGCTTCGCCTCCTCTGTGCCACACATCTAGAGTGATTCGAAAACAGCGATCAGTGACCGTAGTCACAACTTTACCCCTTTTTGCACATTCCTAATTAACTCCGAGAGAGGATTTCCTGTGAAGACGTGACCCTCAATCTCGACCTTGTATTGACTGCACATAGGGTAGGACGTGCCATGTGGACCCTTCAACAGGAGCTGCTCGTTCCTCGTGGAGAAGAGGACCCAATCCTCACCGCTGTTCTTCTGATCATCGACAACGTCCTCTTCATCCCCATAGTAGGCCGGAGTCAAGATATCATCAAGGTCTTTTTCTAAACAACGAATAATATGAGGAGGTTTAAAAGCACAATCTCGACGAAAGTGGTCGATTTTGCAGGAATGTGTAAGTGACGTGTATCAGATAACAGGGTGGATTAATCCACACCACAGCGACATTTTCACTCAACATAGCAGAAATGCGTGCTCAACGCATCTGCCAATTTGATGCATTTTGACTGATTGCATGAGCACTTGTCAACTATGGAGGCAAAGCATTGAGGAGTGTCGTAGTGTAATTTGGTGGGATTTAGCGAAACAGCAGTCACCTGTGTTAATGTGGTCATGCAGTGGTCATCTAGGCCTCTGCAGATTCCCACCTTCCTCATACTCATCTGTGTCAGGGGCATGACTTCCATTGTCTTCCACGTACAATAATTAGGCGACAAGTAAATGAGTCAGCCAATTATCTGAAGGAGTGCAAACTGCTTGTGGTTCACTGGAAAATTCCTGACGATTGCCCGCATTTCCTTTGCGCTTTGGCGGTCGCACGGGTGTACTCTTCGGCACCGAACTGTCATCTGTTTTAAGAGAAACACAAGTTTAGAACGATACTAGGTCTACCAAGGATTATGGATGGAAATGAATGGAGTGATACCTACACAGTATGACAGCGTGGTGAAGCGGTGTTTGCCTAAGTGCATATTTGTCTGGCTGAACACTTCACCCTTGGCAGGTTGAACTGCTGACTTGTGTCTTGGTGACATGGCTTTCCACCCACAGAAATAGCATCCTCGCGTCAGGCAAGTGTTGGGTTGCTATGCTGGTGAGGGTGGTAACTGACCCACAACAAATGGTACTTAATCGTGATTATGACTGGTTAACTAATGAAAGAGTCATAGAAGGAAAATATCTTGTGGGAATGGGTGAGGCAGTGAAGAATGAGAAGGGAATTAATGGGACTGCGTCTACTTCTATTAGGTACCTATATCAGGCACCATTGAATATCCTGATGCAGGCAAGAAAATATACGAGTATAATAATGGACTTTTCCGTTGATGGATCAGCCAACGCATCAATCAGGCTGGTGGTGTCGGTCAGTCAACTGATCGATCCAGCAAGTAGCCGCTTCCAAATAGAGATACCGTATACTCTCCGCAATTTAGAAGGGGAGAAACTTGTTGATGTTTTAAGTGCATTATCTGTAGGTGTTTTAAGTATGTGAGCTTGGATCCTATTGAGTCCTCCCAACCAGAACGGTGTGAGCATTTGGCCTCAATATAGATGTCTTTACTCGCGCATGAGTATTACTGGACAGAATGGGTAGTGGATGTGCTTATATGATTGCTGCCTAGTTAATGATAACACAAAATGTATCTATTCCTCTCTATTTGTAGTCTGTCAAATGGTTTTGACTGTACCGGGATGATTAGTATGCATGGATATAGTCTCTACATCTGATTGGTCAATTAGACGAATTTAGAAGAAGTGTCCATCGAGCAGTGTTTCTCAGTGCCTAGGTAATCCGACTACAAGAAGAAACCTGTGGAAAGTTGTAAAGGTGGTGTACATCAGGTGCCATTCAAATAAGTCTACGTCATTGAGTCAAAATGCACCACACTGCAGGTGATGCTGGAATCGTATGCATGGGTAAGAAGATGCAATACTACAGCTGTACCAAATGATCGAACTTGACGCTACAGTGCATGGATCGGCTCATTTTAAGTAGGCACAAAGAATTGTATGATATTGAATTGTCTAACTTTCGTTTCATTCCTGCAAGTGGGACTGGGTGCCAAGTGACAAGCGACGAGCGGCATGAGGCAGGTGGCAAATCTGTCTCTCCATGGACAAACAGACACTGGTCGGTGGTCCATGCACATAGCAAATGTGGGCACACGCCCACCTATTCTATCTTGTGTGTTTACGGATAGAATGAGATGGGATAGGAGAGGTTAGGTGGGTCATATAGACAACTGCCTCGATGTGCAAACTTCCCGGTATATTTGCGTAAACGTGCAAATGAGCGATTGATTGTGTACAATGGAATGTAGTTTTCTTCTTCTTCTATTCTACTTTTAATGGCTTTTTAAATTCTTTGAAATGATGTGGATGTGGCTCCTGCATGCTGCAGTCAGCAGCTCCTCCACTCAGTCATTGAAAGAGGGCATTAGCAAAATCACATTCTTGCTCTACCGCACAGGCGTGTACTATCCTTCTCACTGTTAGAGTGCCGATGAGCTTAACGACTAGGTGCTCAACACACAAATTCCTCCAGTCTAGATTGTGCCATTGCTCCGATGAGAATTTGCCATCATTCCCAGCTGCCGCATTCAAAACTCATTCATTTAAGACAAGGCTTAAACAACACGCCATTGAATTTGAAGACGATGAGAAATTATTTCTTAAAGGAGCCGTACAAGTGAGCCAAATGTCACAAGCAGCCTGTAGTCGTAAAGTCAAGTTATCCCTTACAATACGGAAGGCAAGATTTGTTTGCTAGCAATCGTTTGAGTGAGGAATTTTCTGGAGGCATTTTAATCGTAGAATCAGGTACTCCACCGACCAGTTGTTCACTCATTTAATCAAGTAGTTAGCCACATCTGTTTAGCATTGTGCCTTGCAGTTTTTACATACAGATGTAAAGAGAGAGCTGCTGTTGTCAAGGGCTGTGGTCAGTTTGCAGTATAGGAGACCACTAAGTGAGGCATACAAGTTGCCTAAATATCAATAACATTTGCAAGTAATTGCCAGAATGTGTCATCAATTCGCAAGCCAGTAGTGTAAAGTGGATGAAAACGCAGTTCTATTTGAAGCTGAAAGCACCACCCCCACCTCTGTACCAGTTCCTGCGAGGTAGAACCACTTCATTTCACAATTATGGTGCAATCAAACTTCGGTTAATAAGAAAATAATTGAGTAAACTACTAAATAAACAAGTGAATCACTAAACTGCAATAAGAGCCTAATTTATAAGGTTAATGCTCATAATTTACAGGAGTGCATGAAAACAATGAATTACGTTGCATTAAAGTAATCGACAGGCACCTCACCTTCTTTCATGTCAGGTCGTGATTTCTTTGATTCTAACTTTGTAATCAATCAACAATTGCGGGAGGTACCAGAGTCTTACCGTTGGAACAGCTTACTCCAATTAGCTCCGTCATGATAAATGGAGAGGAGAGCTTCTTTCGATTGCACTTTGCTTAAGCTGAGTCGGGTAACTATCGCACTGATGCCACTGAAAGGCCCTTTAGGCCGACTTGCTCGTTTGCAGCAGCCAATCAGGGGACTTGGTTCACGCCATATCTTCACACATTGACAGTAACAGTGCAGTTGTCAAGGCCACGCATTGTTGCTGCTCAAGAAATTATTCTTATCTTCATAGCTCAGCTATTGTCGCGCCCGATAGAATTCACAAAGGTCACCTTTTGGCATTGTTACAAAGCAGTTTATGAGCTTTCACCTATGTAATGTGTTCGTCAACCAGGGTGCCATCGGCGAATGGTCAGTGCGCAGAATTCCTACAGTAAAAATGCCTTGATATTTCATTATTTTCACTCCCTCAGACTTGGTTCCTCTGTCTCAAAGTACCGGCATTATGAATGCAGAATCATATTTGTACAAAACCACTGGGATTGTTCGCATGTTCACCAAGTGATTTTAAATGCTGGGAGGGAATTGACTGAGCACCTGAGTTCTTCCACTTCCTCGTATTCAAATAGGTCGCACTGCACCCTCATTGTAATTTGGTTGATGGAAATGTGGTGCATTCCTCAGATCACGTTGCTTGATCCTAACGTGATGCATCGTTTATTCGGTTCAATCTTTAGTGAAAAATGGAGAAAGTTCGGTTGCTCTAATTGACGGAGGGAAACCTCTCAAGTTGTCCTGCCACTGACACTTCCGTTGACCCACCAGTGAATAATTATATGAGTAGGGGAATTCACAAGTGGTTGAGGGAATAAAAGAAGTCGCAATAACACTGGATTGTATTAAGGATGAGGGTGGTAGTCTGTACAACCCATTCAGAGGCATGCATATACCATGTTTGAACAGTCGCCCAAATAGTTGGAAGGAAGGCATTGCAAGTGCACTAACTTCGTTGTTGTGCATCGAGCTGTCACAAAATCTGCGTAAGACTTATTTTAGTGATGCATTTAAAATTACAAGCACATTTGTTAGCTTCGAGATGGGATAGATGATTGATCAGTTGAGAGAAATTATTCTTCTTCGAGTCTCCCCGTAAGTGTGAGTCAATTAGTCTCAAAGTAAGTGGTGGCCTCCACCCCAACTGATTCAATTTACGCACATAGGCAAGTAAGGGTAACATCTTATTGTGCCTACGCTAACTGATGTTGCAGTGAGCACCCCAAACATCGTGAATAATTGAGACTAGCCTAAACAAGTAATTTGCCGTCCAGTTATGGAAGTGGAAGAAATAAGTATACGAGCTGTATTCACGCACACACAAGTTTACTTCGAAAGCATCACCACTCGAGATCAATCATTGTTTTCCTCAATGTTAGAGGCAAAAATTAAATGAGGTTCCGTCACCGAGGTGAATCTTTGTGCACCTACAAGGCAATGATTTGGCTCTTACCGAGTTGTGGCTGGAACGAATGCACAGCATTTCAGCTTTATCTGTAAATAAACACTTTATGCACAAATGATTAACATTGGAGGGTTGTCTAGCCAAAAGTACTTCGTGTTGGGCAAACCGCTGCCTAGAAGACGACGGAATCACAACACGAAATAGCAAAGGCTTACGAAAGCGTACTTCGCACCAGTATGACAAAAATAGCTGCAGTGTGAGTGTGGCATACTTACAAATACTTCAACACAGCGGTCCTGACTGTTTAACTTTCGATTGTTCATGTCAGGGAATGTGAAAACTGCAAGTGGATCACGTTAGACTATATGCTTAGAAGACTGGTTGATGTTACGAAGTAGAATTTTATGCATTTAAAGATACGTTTAATTTCCTACTGCAGGAAAGTTATATATGGAGAAAGTAGTCATGGTAAGCTGACGGTAAAAAAGGCGTTAGCTTATAGGCTTGGCAACGGGGGAAAAGTGTTCTCTACGATCCCAAATTCCTTAATAGAAGAAATCCAGCCCTTTATGAACAACTCTTATATTAATGGAATCTACGTTTATTGATGAAACTTTAGTGATGTCACCAACTAATTGATGGTCAACGATGTGGTTCCGGTCATTAAGTGATTCGAATCCATGGGACACGATGCACCACTGACTGGTTCCAGGCAAAATAAGCGTTGATTCATGCAACAAATCAGGGCAAATAATGCTCAACTTGAATGTTAACGGTTAACAAAGGCATTATTCAGCACTTTCCCTAATTTAAGGATTTTCTACGAATGCCCCCATCTTGTTTTTCTTCCTTCTCAATTCAGTGTTATTGGTTGACTGGAAAGATGTTGTGCAAGTACCTATCGACAAGTCTTATACACCGTGTACCACGGACGTAACATCTGGACTCCGCAGTGCGTCCCTTATTGCCACCCCGTTAAAATATATAACGTAATATTTCAAATCCAGTGTCCGATTTGGTGCAGGCATACAATACTAGCTCGCGAATAGCCACAAACATAACAATACAAGGAGGAATTCCATAATTCTGGTACAAGTTAAGAAAAAGCGTACATTTTTGCATTGTGTGAAATGCAATTCCAAACTTGAAGCAATTGTGAAGTTGAATGATTGACCGATCATCGCCAAGAAGGAGAAAGTACATGTGACAGTCCTCATTACCACCTTCTTTGTAGTCTACAACACTAGCATGCATATTGCTGGAACTGGATCATTCGGATCTGCTTCTAATTAGTTTCCATAATTTGATGGAGGATTAGCGTTGACGGCAGGTGGGGTCGCAATGTAATTTCATTTGGGGAACCAAGACAGGTGCTGAGCCGATGTTCCTTGATAAGAGGCTTGCATCCCTTGCAGAATCAGGCAAGAGGAGCTTTTGCCTGCATCAGATGAATACGTAATGCCCAATATGTGCCCAACGAATGAATGAGTTATAGTTTGTAGATTTACTTGATCTCATTTAGCCTAAACCATTGTTGAAGAAGGCAATTTGATAAAGATGAGGGTGAAAGGACAGCCCAATATTGTGAAGAGGAATGGAAGATTGGTTTAGCAGTAGGTTGTAAAGTCGATTATTTACGCAACTGCAGGCAAGATTGTGTTAATTTAGTGTTATCTAGCAGGAAAGTATCCACAAGTAATTTGTCAAGGGTGAGCAAACCTTGAATAGCCCACAAAATGCGAGGTATTTGCAGGTCTCGTAGGCAACGGTGAGCGGAAGGTTTGCAAATGTAATGATCTCCTTATTTGCCGCCGATGGGGTGTTTTTGATGTTAGATCTTAAAAGCGTTAATTGGCTATTCGCCCTAATATGATCAGTCAAACTGGCCGTATATTCACTATTGGAATGTAATGGGTATTGCCTTGATAGTGGCTCAATTAGAGGCATAATGAAGATTAAGTTATTTCTACGGTTTATTATTTGCAGGCATGAAACTTCATGCTTTCTGGAGCAAAGCTGCATTTTCCGCCTTTCATTTGTTTAAAGAGCTACCTACATAATTGCCAAATGAGATGTTTCGGCACCATCAATTGATGGTATTGCTAATGGCACAGTGAATTAGCGCTATGATCCAGAGAACAACGTCACGTTGGAGTCATGCATCAAACGGCAAGAGGACTTTTCAATGTTGGCATCACTACGCGGGATGACGCATCGGGGTTTTGCATTCAACATTGCAAACTGAGTTCAGCAGAGTATAATTACTCCCGCTGCCTGATACTACGAGATGCAAGCAACGCCATTTTCAATGCAATAGTAAAGTCCCCATGGCAGCACCTGGGTGAGTAGTACCGACCAACTTCACGTACAGCCAGATGGGCTTAAGAAGAGTAGTCTATGGGTTGTCGGCGACAATGGCCAAAAGTGCTGCCTACAGTCCATGCTATTAGAACTCTCGCAATGACTGCTGCTGAAGTCGAAGAAGTAACAGTTCTTACCACCACCTTAACAAGGGCAAAGTGCCTCGTTAAGAATAAGTGAACACTTTGTTTACCCAACAACTACCTCAAACTGTTGCTCCGTCAGCGTGACTCACTGTGCATCGCCGAAGGCTGCCTTATGCTTGGCAATGGTTAATTTTGCTTAGAAAATTGCGTCTGAGAAAACTTCGTCTAATTCATTGGCACGAAATAAGCCACCAGAAGCTTGCGTACTAGACACACATGACCAAAAATATAACAGGTCTCGATAAGAGACCTCGACATTGCCAAAGGGAGGCAAAGAATTCGCAGACGACCTTATCAGCAACTTCATCTTATCCAGAGGAGCCATGATCAGGCTACATCCCAACTCTGCCGGTCCAATCAGTGACGTTGCATAACAAGTTTTGACAAATGCCTATTCAAGGTGGTCGGATTGGCAACTGTGGTCCCTACAACGATATCCAAAAGGCTACAAGTGCTGCGACATATATTTGGCCAATAAAATTTTCCTAAGGACTTAAGTCATAGACCCCAAAACACAGCATGAAGCTTATTTTGCAGCGATTCAATAAAAATTTGTTTCCAAAGCACCATTGCGCATTTCCCTCGTCGCAGTTGTACCCTCAACCTACCATTAGAATGGAGTGAACTGGCACTTCGGAAAGAATGCTATCTGCGTGTTTCTGTCTGGCAAAACAGGAAAAGACTTGATAATGACACTGAGTTTCTTTTGTTTACTGGAGTTTTGCTGTCTTATTGGTTCGGATAAAACAAACTCCAATAGCTAGAGTGAATTGCTGCCCAATTTGTGTGATAGGTCTACTGTTAGCCAGCCCTGTGAATTTCCTTCGAAGGATTTCAGAGGTCAGTTTCAAAAGGCAAAATACATAACGATGGAGCGATGCAACAAAATTAGTGCAACTCTTGTGATGCCAACAATCAATTTCCACCTTCAGTTGATTGCAATTTTCACTGTGTCTGTAGGATGTATGTAAAATACACCGACATTTTCATTACGCCTAGGAATGGGCATGGAAATGTGTTAACAAAAGAGGTGTCCAAATTGCAGTGGAAACGTGAAACGGAGGTAGTTACTAGATGCAGGCATTGTTGCAGTGGCAGTGAAGTGTAGCTGGGCCACCACAAATAGTCGGATGGAAGACGCATGATTCGTGGATGCACTTTTCATCAAGCTCTTTATTTTTCGGTCCCCTTGTCGGACACAATGGTGGAGCCGTTGCCAAGTCGAAGCAGTATTGTCGAAATAATATGCAGGGATATTTGAAAAAGCCGAGGCCTCATTTGAAGTGATGAGAGGATGACCGGATGGTAAAGGATGAGCGATGGGCGTTGTAACAATAGTTTTTTGATGGTTACTGAAGACGGCATGGTAGCCTTAATCAACCTACTTTTCCATATGACGCAGTTTAAAATGCATTGCAGCAAATACAAAATAAAATCTTTGATTCTGTCAATTTCACTTATAATTATTGGACAAGTCAAGGTAAGGGCGTTGTGATTGAAATGACCACGGTCAGGAGGAGGGGTGATGAGAACTGGGCATGCTGGCTATCACAAGCTGAGGCATCTTACAAAATTTTGGTGCTTGTACCAATGCTCGAACTGTGCATTGAGTAGCATCAAGTTTGAAGTAAATATTTGGTAAATTTAAATGACCACTTTGGTATGCCGTGCCCTCAGAAGCTTTTGTATTTTGCTCCACCTCACCACGACAGACTGCAGGCAGAAGGACGTTAAGATGGAGATCAGAGTTAGGCAGGCACTAAATGCTATGACTCGGTATTTGTGACTGGAGTTGCCAATGCACTCAGTCATCTGCGAAATGCCGATGCAGTTGAAATGCTTTGCTGTTGACGGGATGCGCATCTGATTAATCGTAGGGGCCGCCCGCTAGTAATTCACCCAAAGACATGGTGAGGATGAAATCGTCCCAATTGGTTTTGGTTTACAAACCGAAAAATTCATGTTTCCTTGAACAGAACGGTATCATCTAACTTTTCCTGTCGTCTGAAAAGCTACACCCTTACTCGCCCTTTGAGACACAAATTGAAAGAATGAATGAAGGGACGAGGGCTCTACCCTCGCAGAGGCAAATACAAAGCATGAGTGCCAGTGAGGCTGGATGCAATGCAAGTCATACCACGACGGCTCTGTTACAAACCAAAACCACCTACTCTTTTGCCAATGCCGAACACTTCACTCTGCCCCTCTGTTTTGATTTAGGCACAAAAGTAGCTGATTGTGTCCAGCGAATTGTCATACCTGATTTAGTTTGCACCATTGTCCAAAAACAAAAGTGCAGTACAATATTATGAAGGCAAAGGAACAAATAAGAACTTGCGTCGACCGATTCGCATCCTATTACTCCAATTCTGATATATCCCTTAGAACAATACACTATTAGCAGAACTATGTTAATGGTGGAGAAGAATACGCCCTGAAGCAGGCCCTATTTATTTTTGAACATGGTGGGTTGGTATTCATAGGGGTGCATTGTACCTAAGTTACATTTTAGTATGCTGAAGCATGTGACAAAAGTGTAATCTGATGCATCGACTCCGTGACAGTCTGTCCTAATACTTTTGCAAAATTTGGCTCACAAAATAAGATTTGAGAGGCAAAACCGCACCTTTGAACATATTTAATCCAAATGTAGAAATACACTTTTTCTAAATCATTTCGCAGATCCGAATTCAGGAGGCTCCAATAACTTTCACCCTCACTATTGATGCAGACTTACTGAGAAATGTGGAGTACAGTGAATGGGAGGTGGCATATCATGGCAAAATTCTATTATCGAATGTGCTGTTAACACGGAAGAAAGTGGCAAATTGGGCGGATGAGTGGATTAGTTCAGATGTTTTTCGTTTGCGGGCGACACTACTACCCAAGGCCTTGTTTATGGAATGATGGGAGATTTTGCATTATTCGGTTCCAACCAATTTACACTTCCGCTGTGTTTGAAAATGCCGGTGTCAAAAATGTGCTTTAATGCAACGCCATTTGATAAGACGTTTACTAATCAACTACCATTGGTTTAAGCAAAATTTGAAGTGCTGGCTTTCCATGAATGCGACAACAGCCACATGGAAATGTGTTATTAAGTCTGACTAAGGCGTAACTTGCATCATTCTGGTTGTAATTTGTTGCAGTGTGAGTTTGAGTGTATTTCTTAAAGGCGTCAAATTGAAATTTGACAGAGGCATGCTTTGATCCAAGTAAAGATATTAGGATTTAAAATAAGCGCCGTCTGGACATGGAGAACTAGTGACTAGTCCGATTGTATTTTAAAAGCAAATTCGGGAGCATGAGAAACGTGGACGCATGTTTCCATGGACAGCAGATTTTCTATGGTCGTAATTTAAAACAACGACCCGATGTACAAACAACTGGTCTTTGTTATCCAACGTTAATGCGGTCAGAGATCACCCGCATTATAAAGTAGGCAGCTTCGTGATATTTACCGTGTACGCCTTATTGAAATACGCTTTTTGTCTAATTTATCATAGTCTACCAAAACCAATTCCCCATACATTATTTTCTCGAAATTGACAACTTCTTCGTAGCTTATGGTAAAATTCTCTCCATAAAAAAGACGCAGATAGGGAAAAATGACGCTCATTTAGGCAAGATTTTGCCTGGAATATTCAGATGAGATTTGCAGTGCTTTGTTTCTGAATATGCTGCCCAAATAGCAAATAACAGCGCAGATTTTCAAAAAAACACGCACGGATTTGATGTACTCCTTTATCCACGATGCAGAGCACTTTACATAGGCATACTAGATCGTCTGTAATTGGGTCACTTCGTGACAATTTGTCTTCTGATGTGCCTGCCAATGTGGCCGGGCACGAGAGCGGGGGGAATTAGTGACTCAAGACTTGGATGTCAAAAGTCATTTCTATCTAATTCTTGTCAAAACTGCCTCTTTACTGGTCAGCTTAGTGGATTACTTTAATATATTTCCCAAAGGCAGATAAGGGCAGACATAATGATGTCCAAACCTTTAAGTGCCAATCATTCCATATCGCCAGCCACGTCCTCCATATTCTCAAACTCAATAGTACATAGTTGGAAGTTGTCGAGTCTAGTGGTGCTTTCAGTTTAGGATGCAGTCTCATTCGACTTTGAGTGCCCATCTCAGCACTTCATTTGGCCGATCTTCTACTTTGGTTTGCTAGTCTTCCCCAGAATTGCCCCCCAACTCCAAGACGGCGCCAACGGTGACAGAATGAACTGGCACAATGGGAGGATCACCACCCACTTCAAGGGTGGTAGTGGACGCAGTAGTTTTATTTCAGCTGATCAATGTTATGCAACGATGATGTTCCTTGTATCAGTTGCTTTGCTGAAGCATTTGTGCGAGAGCAGCACTGACATGGTGAGCTGACGTGTTGGAGAGACATCATTTCAATCACCGCATTCCGATTTGACTAACCAACCCAACACTTCTTCCTCTCACACAAATTTTCCTCAAGATTAAATGATATCAGTAGCAAGCTTCGACCACGCTCCTGGGTTTGCGTTACGTTAACTCACCCTCAAACAGTCATTTGCAACTAGAACACTCGAGCCTAGAACAAGTGCCTACAATCTTGCATTTAAAAGTGAAACCCTACTCATCTTAATAGCTCACTTCGTTCTAACGCTTTTTCGAAGTTATTTGGGCTAGGTAACCCGGTGTCGTAATAGCAAGATTCAATTCATTTTCTGTGAAACTGCTGCATGCATAGGAGGACGTTGTGGCCAACGAGAGTGAAAGGTGCCCTCTTTCAATACCATTCCACCACCTTACACCGCCATCAATGCAAACTCAAGCATCACATCTGAAGTGTACCTATTCGTTGCGAGCTGCAAAGCTACTCATTCGGTCCAGCTTCCGTGACACTTTCACCACCATTACTACTACGCAGTGATAAGTAGCGAGTCTGCCTTCCTGCAGACGAACGTGGAGCATCCGGAGGTTGATACATACATCGTGTAGGCCAGCTACTCTCGGTCTATTTCGGTCCTGCTCAGTGCAGTGCACCGTCCATCACAATCTGAAATATGGTGGCAGTGAACTCAACCCACCCTGACGTAAAGCTTTGCAGAACAGATCGGGACTGAAGACGGGCGTTTGCAATTTAGGTTGGTGAAGACTGCGTGTACCAAGATGGCTCATCATAAACCAGGATAATTGGAAATGTAACACTTCAGTAGAATGTAGTCGTAATGCCAAACGCCCTTGCTCCCCCTTCTTGTAGTAGCTCCTCTTCAACTGCATTTATCCCAATTTTTTGGAAAGAAATAACGTGCTAATTTGACATTTCAGCTAACCATGTATTTAATTCAGCTAAAATAGGGGAGAATAGAGGAGTATGATAATGATGTTGTTGAAGAGGAAGGGTCGAATACAGCCAGTCCTTGAAACATTCCAACAGAATAATTCATTTCATCACAAATTCAACATTCTCTTAAATGATAATATGCACGTCAAGTGTGGGTCTACTGAATCACTCAGTGTTGGTCGCGTGTACAAGCATGTCTGCAGAGCCATAAGGATGACTTGATATGTACCGCTAGGCATGGCTAATGGTGCCTTTACGAGGAGCTACAAGTTACCATGCATCCGACTCACACCGCGCAAGTTGAAAATGCCTTTGGAGTAGTGAAACCCACGATTTGAACTAAAGTGCGATTGCAATTGACAGCAATACAGCAGCTTTCATACATTCAACTTATTGCCAGTACCCATTTTCTGTAAGACAAATTACTCTGCTTGATTGTCTTATCCCAGAAACACAAAGTGGCATCAGTAAAGACAATGCAATACTTACTAAGTTGTAAGATCCACCTAATCACCAACTGCAGTAATCTTCACTTGCCCAAATTTTGTCATTACTGTCGCATGCTAGGGCGTAAATGCTAATATTCCTCTCAAATTCGGATACACGAAGGACGCAAAGGGGATACATTTCAATGTGATTGTACTATGTGACCGATAAATCTCACTAATTCATCAATTACCTTCTCTATCAGTTAATTATGCAACGCCTAGTTGAAAGGTTTCTCCAAGGCTTTATCAGTAGAATGTAGCGCAATTTGTGTGAGTAAATGAGAATATCATCCTTCACAAGTAATACGGTGGTAATAAATTGCTACGCATATTGGAGTGGCGTATTCGAACAATCACATGACCAATGACTTGTGCCATGCAGATCCTTCTTCACGGTCGTGTTCAGAAGCATCAATGCGGAAGAGAGGGTTATTACCTGCCTACTTTACTTGCAAACACACCAAACCGTCAGCTGGCTTTAACCACTGTGTCAAGATGTAATCCCTATCCACAGCAGGTATAACAACATGTCCTAAAATGAACAGCATTGCACTTAATAATGGTAAACAGGCAGAAATGATTGAGTTAATGCTTCTGTTATTTCTGCCTTTTAAGCACACATTCCGACAAAACACACTAGCACTTACTCATTTCAATGGATTTTACAAGTGACAATGGGAGAGTCGGGTCTGTCATACTGCGGTGATTGCGAGCTAGTGTACTACACCCGCACTACAATTACTTCTGTCAAATTGGTGTAAAGTACGCTTTCGCGAACCTTCAGTGCTCCGATTTTACATCTCCTTCACTTTAAAGCAACAGTTCACCCAACAGGAAGTACTATAGGCTAGGCAACTCCCTAAAATGCAAAACAATAATAAAATGTATTTTCTACGAGAGAGCTCGTATTTTGCATACACAGATCGAGGTAGCATTCAATAACAGCTGAATCGATGTATTTGAGGTAAAATTTATCGGAGGACTAAAACATTATCCAATCGTAGTTTCAAATCTTAAAAGGAATCATGGTGGATCTCTGGTAACAATGCGGTAAAGTGAAATTCATCCAGTCACTTAATTCGTGTGCGTTAATGCGTTCGTGTGTGTGCGTGTGCACATGCAACTCATGTTAATTCCTCCCATTTTCACATTTGGACAGTAAAACTCACTTTGGCTAATCCCGATTATTTATATCGTCTGCAATGCTCATTGCATAATCAGTTAGTCTGCGCAGGAGAAGATGTGATCGTCACTTGCATATGTGCGCAAATCGAACCAGTTGGAGTGGAGGCGACCACTTACTTTGAGATGAAACGAGTCAAGCCTACAGTGAGACTCACGAGGGTTTTGCTAAAGATCTCTCTTGAAGTACGAAAGAAGTGCTCATGATTTGGAATCATGACAACGGCGTTAGTGCAGATACAGAACCTTAATCTCAACCATTTGAGGGACGCTTCAGACATTGTATGCGAGTGTGTATGTGTATGTGTATGCCAGGTCACAGGCGGGACGACACAGGTGTAATTTCTGCATAACTCGCAAGGATGAGGAAACACAGGTAGTCATCGTATAGCGATTAAAGCAACTACCCTTGCTCACCTTTTAATACGAGAGTAAGCCCATTGAATTGAGCATCGGGTTGAGTTCATACGACGTGCTGCAAGGAATGCACCACTCTTTTATTAACCACATTGCAGTGAGGCTACAATGCGGCTCATATGAGCACGAGAAAATGAGAGGTAACCAGGTGCTCAGTCGATTCCCTCTCCATCATCCAAATCGCTCACTGGACACAGCAAACAATTGCAGTGATATCAGAGACGGATCAACCTTCACTCCGTTGACCTAGTCTGGATCGTACTCATAACAACATTGATTCAAAGCAAGGAAACCAGGTGCCCGGGAGTGAAAATAATTGAACTATCAAGGCATTTTAGCCATGAGGTGCCTACACACTGAGCGCTCTGATAATGGTCTGATTGACTATCGCATCACACTGGTTTGTGAGATTAAATTGCACTGGAATGAAGAGGGAATCCGACTACTTGGAATGCTTTGGAAGACAAGAGTAGATGAGCTGTGAAGTTAAAAATAGTTCTTTGAGTAGCAACAAGGTGTGGGGCACACAACTGCGTTGCCTTTGCCAATGCGTGAAGAGTTGGTACAGACCGAGTATCTTGATTGGCTGTTGTAGATCAGAGTCTAAGAAAGGTGTCTCAAGAGCGGTACCTGTGCAAAAATCATTTGGATAATTAGAACAATAGCAAAAGGAGGCAGGTCTCTTATTGAAAAATGCCACAAAAACAATCGACTAAAGTTGCTAGCAAAGGTAAGTCGCCTAGTCCGCCCACCACTACTGATGGTCTTCTATTGGATGCCTAAATTCAAACTTGATTTCAGACTTGGAGAAGTCAAAGCATGACACGACAGAAGGTGAGTTGCACGCTAATTATCTTAATGCACTCCAGTGCTCAATAGCTTTATAGCATCATGAAAGTAATAACTTTACTTCAAGAACTAGTTTTCCATTGCAGTTTAGTCATCAGTTTGTTTGTCAGTTTGTTAATGCTTTTGCTTCTTTGCTCATTTGCCACAGATCGAAATAGTTTACATGCATGAAGAGCAGTAGTAGTGGCCCGCAATAACTGGCATAGAGGCAGGAGTAGTTCTCTCTTCTGCTAACCGAATAATTGCTTTTATCCACTTAACACCACCGAGCTGCAAATATTATTCCTATGTGGCCGACTGATGGGCGTCACCCAACTGTCATCGCTGTCTGTAGGATTGGTCACACACGAACACACAACACTAGCAATGTGTTACAGCACTCAACATCATCTGGCTCATGTTTTCACGTTTAATTTTCAGGAATGCATGATTGTCACTAAATGGATGTGGATAACTGATTATTTGTTTGACCGAATGATTAACTGATTGGTGATTGACGAGGTATTTAACCCACTGCTCCGTAGGCCAATTAAAATGCCTAGAGTAAATATTTCACTAAACTAATTGCCAATAAGCAGATCACTACTTCGCGTCGTGGAGAATAAATGGAAACTGCGTCACTACATGCCACTAGCAGCACTCATTTGTCTCGTGAGTCTCCTATGAAAGTCAAGTTCGCAAGGCTTCAAATTCAGTAGCGTGTCAGTTGGGCTGTCTTGAATGAATGCGTCTTGAATGTGTAGATAGTGAATGGTTGCAATCTCTTGTCAAGGAAATGATGCAGCCTCTATCAGAAGAATTTGCATGTTTCCCATCTAATCGTAAGCCCAAACATTAAAAGCATTTATTTGTGACAGGATGGGCAAACCGTTTGTCACTCATGCAGGAGTATCACGGTAGCTCGCCTATTTAATGCCATCAAATGCTATTTGCCACCTCAAATTGAGCACCGCCCATACAGCACAGCATCATAACTCACTATTTAGTAACACAATTGTTATTAGTGTGCTTAGTCACCCAGGCATTTCTATCATAAATGAGGCAGACTTATTCAAGCAGTACTGCATTCCTAGAGTTATCTTCAGCGCCTAAAACACACTCCGTTTCCAACCTTCCACAGGTTATCTTGCTCGAGTTGTTTGCCTAGACATTGCGAAATATTGCTTCATTTACACCCTCCCCGAGTTTGCTCATTTGACCCATATGAAGTGGATGCGATATGAAAATGTTCTCATAATCACAGTAAGGCCGAGGTCATGGGACTGTCTATAAACAGACGGAAAATGGTATGTCCTGTGCCGTCATTAACCAAGCAGCACTCATGTATGCATACGTCGAGCCCTATCCACTCAATCATACTCGTAAAAAAAGGGCCGAAATGTCTGTGTAGAGGCAACTTGTCTTCATCATTCCGGTTAAGAGGACTCGACAGCATCCAAGCTCATGCTGGTAGTCATCAACTGATGACATATTTGACACCGATAGTTAGTGCATTTGTGGTAGGGTCTGGTTCAGTTTTTACAGTGCCATCGATTGACACTGATCATTGACGAAAGAGGTGAGTAGACTGCTGGATGATGCTATTCAACGAGGTGTGACCTGCCTAATGTTGAAGTGAATACTGGTTAATGAAGTGCTGAAATTGCAGCAATCACTTATAAACAACAATCATGTGGTAGCGCATCTACCACGACCAACTTCAGCAAGGCAGATCCACTAACCCAAGAATACAGTCTGGAGTCATCTTAGTGAAGTACTGGCTTGAATCAAGATTACACAAGGCATTACTCAGGCATGTGACGGGTTTGTGTGATATCATGTCCAGCTATGGAGAAATATGCACAGTTAGGCAAAGGTGAGGCAGAAGGTCCCAACTTGGATACTTTGCTGCTTTAGCAATGCAGCTGCCAACCTGCGCAATTTGAACATCTCTAGAACTTGTGTGGTAAGGCAGCAGGATTTACCACCTCTGACGTAGAGGTTGGGATTTTGCTCGACACATGCAAATACCAAATGTTGTGACGCCTATTTCACGCACATCATGAGAGGGAGCACTGTAGCTGTCTCACATACCCACTTTAATCTTGGTATGTTATGTGCATGGTAAATGTAACTTGAGAAGGTAAGTCACTTCCTTGCAGGTGGATGATTTGCTATTGAAGAAAGAGGCAGGGGAGAAGTGGATGCTTCGGCATCGCAAGAATTGTACCACAAGATGACAAGCCCTAACACAGTGATCACACTGACAAATGGGTAGTGTGTGTCTGACAAGAAATGCTGCCTACATTAGTCCCAGTAGGGTGGGGGGTTAAGGCTACGTTCAGGGACGGTGAACAGCAACCGCAAAATACGAGGGGACGAGGCAAGGAGTGAGAAGCGCGTAGATAAATGATAAGCATTGACAGGGAATTGACTTAAACTGGACAATGATCTTCGCAGCGGACACTTCGACTACCAATTGCAATGTTGTGAAGCACGTGCTCTAATCCAACCGCTTTGTTCAGTAGGTTGGGGGAAATTTCTCCCAACATTGCATCCCCATACCTCACTTATGCTGCTCAATTACATATAGGTGCCATTCTCATTGCCTTTAAGCATGTGATGATCTTGTGTCGCCCGTTGGCCATCCTCTTACCGCTCGTCTGTCAACAGCACAGGCCGCTCATTGATGCCTTGATTAGTGCACGTGCCTACATGCACAAACACGTACAGCTCTCATTCCTCGCACTGCATGGCCGATCATACGAGATGGCCGGCGATGACCGCAGTATTTGCCAACCGGTTGAAGTGATCCCACCATTGCTTCCCTTTTGACTATCTCTGTTCTACTCTCATCCACCCGTCACTATCATCAACACCAATGAATGTGTATTTGCATGTAACACATAAGACAGGCACTATTAATGCTTCTAAGTATATTTGTTACACCTGAATTTAGACGAGAAGCAATTCAACGGAAACACTCACAAGCACGAGGAGATGGTAAAGGAGTCCACAGAAGGCGTCTCCAAAGACACACCTGGAACACATTCAAGTGATTCAACTCAAGCAAAATCTAACTGGAAGAAGGTCACTACTCTCCTGGTCTTACCCTCTCGTTTTATGGGAGGTGTGAAGAAAGGTGAATAAGTTGGCTCACAAGCCATTTACTCATCGCAGTCCACAAG